GTACATAGAATGTACCACACAGTTTAAATTTAATATCAAGATAATCACTTTCATAGTTCCAATATTATTTTTATTCTTTCCCATTCCAGAGTGTCACACTCTTCACTGAAGACGTTTTTCAATTTGTGTATGATGGGATTGAGTCAGATCCTCTGTCAATATCATCTGAGGTTGCTGAGGTAAGTAAAAATGGTCAGCAGATGTATCCCAATTTTTTTTTTGTGTCTTTTGTGTATACTGGCCATATCACAACTCTTTAGTATGTATCCTTCCCCAGTTTTCTCAGTATATAGTTTTTTTAGTAAATGAATTTCTGAACTCTGAATGAACACATATCAAAGGTAGACAGGGTAAATTTCACTTTTTGATGCTTGTGAAATTGAGTTGTTCAATTCTCTAATTTACTTTAATCTGTTTAATTCACTCATTTTTTTCCCCAGATCCAAGGTGCCCTACTGAAGATGTTCAGTGTACAGTGTCTAGAAACACAGACAGCCCCAACTTGGTTCCTAGATGATTTTGAAAATGATGTTGGCTTACATGAAACTGGTGAGAGAGTTCAAGATGAAGAGCCATTTTGTGGGCAGACCTCTTTGAAGAATCCAACCAATATTTATGTAGCTCCTGGTGAAGATGGATTTCCTGTTTCAGTGTATAACACCGTAAGTCAATAGTGCTTGCTTGGATTTCAGTGTTAACGCACTAGAAATGACACAAGAGACTGATATGCGAGAAAAAGTAGGGGGATCGAGAGCCTCAGCGTACAAGCGTCTTAGCCGTCTATTCCATGATATTGGTCGCCTTTGACCAACATCATGGCAAGGACGACGTGGTACTTGAGTGAGGGCGCCACCTAAGGGTACTCTGTGTGTAGGCGTCATTGAGGCCTATGTCCCACGGCGAGTTGTAACTTTCAACTCATCTCGGGGCAAGTGCGACGTGTTGCCCAAACAGAGTATGGATACTTGTGTGACAACCACCCCCCCCACCCCCACCCCCCAGCTGTATTTATTGATAAATAATCAAAACATGAAATAAGCACAGAGGAAAAAACAAAATACAAAATGTTGAAGCAAACTGTAATGATGGGAGGGTGGGAGGAAACTTGAACGATGCTCGCTTTGGTCGCCTTTGACCAACATCATGGCAAGGACGATATGGTACTTGAGTGAGGGTGCCACCTAAGGGTACTCTGTGTGTAGGCGTCATTGAGGCCTATGACCCGTGGCGAGTTGTAACTTTCAACTCATCTCGGGGCAAGTGCGACGTGTTGCCCAAACAGAGTATGGATTCCCTGTGTGACAATCCCCCCAAATTAGATGCAGTGGCATGCCAAGGAGCATGACATAGTAGGCATAAGCCTGCAATGGATGCACTGGAAGCATAGTTTTCAGTTTTCTTTTTAGGCTAAGTTGGTGTACACAAACATTTGAGTAAATGAATAAATCAAAGCAAACTAGAATCAAATGCGAACTAAAACTACGAAAGATCGAATAGTATCTAAAAATTACAAGATTACAAAATTAGAAAATACAAGTAAAATAAATTGAATACATATGAATGCGATGGTTATGTAAAGCACATGCAGATAATAAATGACGAGATCGAGGCATGTGTGTGTATAAGTGTTCTGCTTGCCAGTTGCAAAATTGGTGAGATGTTAAGTTCTAGCAATGTTCAGCGATGTTGAGCAAGCGTTGCTGGTACTTTGCGAATAATGTCAGTTGGTGTGGTAATGTACAGCTGATATGCATCACTACGCCATCGTCCTAGGACTTTATCAGCCAGTCAGGGAGGTTGGCCTCGGCAGCTGTTGTTGCTGCACCACTGCGAAAGCTGTGACTGGTGTAATTAGACACATTTTGAACTTTTGCACGAAGGAGTAGGTCACGAAGGTGATATGTTACAGCTTGACGCGTAAGGAATTTGCTGTTCATGAAGCAGAATGCTGGTGCGTTGAGGGCTGCCGGGTTGTAGTTGCGGAAC